ATAAATGTCACAAAGATAAAAAGCTCTGGACAAAACAGTGCTTGGAAGCACAGGAGCATATCAAGGACCCATGAATGATTACAGTCACAGTGATTCTATTTTCTTTCACTGCAAGAGTATATTTTATCTGTGTTTTATTTTAAGAATTTACATAGTACTCTTCAAAGTACTCTTTCTTTTCAGAGAGGCTTACAAAAAATGAAATTCAGAATAAAATTCATGGCAAGGATGTTGGGAGAAATCTAGAAGAAACATTTCTATAAGGAGGTACTACCTCTGCTTGATTGCATATGAGTGGGAGTGAGTCAACAACAGCACATAATCTGCTGTGATCAGGGTTTCTTCTAGCTGTACCTTGAGTAGTACCAGCAGAGCCTTCCTTCCGCCTTATAACAGCATTGGCAATTAAGTCATATATCTGACTTTGGGTTCAAAAGGAAAGGATTAACCTCCCCTGCCCTTTCCCTGCATGCTAACCTGACGCTGCCCATTTTTAAAATCCTGTTTATGACCTGAGGCACATTTTTACTTGAGTTGATCTGATGTGCAAAAGTTAGCCATGCCTTGGTCACATCACATTTAAACTATTGTGATTCACTCTACATAGGCCTACCCTCAAAGAGCATCCAGAAGCTTCAGCTGGTGCAAAATGTGGCAGCTGAATTACTAACTGCTACTTGGTATGAAGGCCAAATTACCCTAATATTGAAAGATGTATACTGGCTGCCAGTTATTTTCCAGGTTCAGTTCAAGGTATTTGTTTTAACTTTTAAAGCCCTAAATAGCTTACAGACTGGGTATATTTGGTATCACACATCTCAGATTGAATTTTGCCTGAACTTGAAGTTTTGTATGAGAAGACATTATGGGGACAGAATTGTTCACAGAGGTCCACATGGAAGTCACCCAGGCGGTTGACACAATTCCACGTAAGCATCCTCTTCCCACTTGCAGAGCTCGCTTGGCTCTATGGTATACAGCAGAACTGTGGGAATTGGGAAGGCAGCTGAGAGCAGGTGTAGGAAAACAAGGACTAAACAGGTAGGAGCTCACTATTGAGTCTACACCATGGCAGTGTGGACAGCGAAGAAGGCATCCTTCTCCATCAACATTGCAGTGCTGTCCAGTGGAGCTATTTCAAGTGGTTTGTTTATATGCAGGCCCTAAAAAATGGGCCTACTGCGATGAATTTGCACAGTAGTTCAAGGATAAAGTCACTTGGATCCAGAATGAATTGGACTCCACATTTAATCTAGTCCCGTTAATGGAGGTGTCCAGAGCACTGTTTGGTCATTTTTTAATCTTTTGGATAAGTTTAAGTTATCAAAGCCTGATGAAATAGACAAGGTGCTTGGATAAGTTTGTTCTACCACCTGTGTTCTTGCCCCTTGCCCCTCACGGTTGCTCATCAAAGCCAAGGAGGGAATACATGGTCCAGGCGATTGTGAATGGCTCTCTGAGGGAGGGGTCCTTTAAAGGAAGCAGTGATCAGACCCATCCTGAAGAAGGTGGGTCTGGATCCAAGAGATGTTAACATCTACAGGCATGTGGCCAACATTACATTTTTGGGCAAGGTGCTCAAGTTGTTGGTAGCTGGGCAACTCAAGGCAATTTTGGAGGAATAGTTAATCTGGATCCATTTCAGTCCAGCTTCAGGGCTGGTTTTGGAACTGAAACTGCCTTGGTCACCCTGTGGGATGATGTGTGCCAGGAGAACGACAGGGGGAGTTCATCCCTGTTGGTTCTTTTAGATTTTTCAGAGGCTTTCGATTCCATCAACCATGGTATTCTCCTGGATAGTCTGCTTGGGTTGGGAGGCACTGCATTTTCTTACCTGACTGAGTGATTCCAGAAGGTGTCTGGAAGAGAGCACCTCAACTTCATGATGTCTACACTATGGTACTGTATCCATCCTCTCCTGGATGGAGTTGCACTCCCCCTAAAGGTGTGGAGCTTGGTGTTACTCCTGGATCCAGAATTATCCCTAGTCTTAGATGGCAACTGTGGCCTGGAGTACCTTCAGTCAACTTTGGTTGGTTTACTAGCTGCATTCTTATCTTGACGGGCAGAACGTAGGAATGGTAATCCATGCTCTGGTAGACTTGCATTTAGACTACTGTAATGCTCTTTACATGGTGCTGCCCTTGAAAACAGGCTGGACACTTTGATTGGTACAAAACAGAGCAGCCCATCTATTGACAGGGACAGGCAGGCACAAATGTATCAGCTCCATGCTTTATCAAGTACACTGGTCACCAAGTGAAGTTTGAGCCCACTTTAAGGTGCCCACACTAACATATAAAGCCCTAAATGGATCAGGGTCTGGATAGCTAGAGGTCCCATATACATATACCCAGACCCTAAGGTCATGTATAGAGGGCCTTCTCCAGGAGCCATGTTTGTTTATTTATTTAGAACTTTTCTAGACTGTCCCATTACTGAAGTCTCGGGATGGTTTAACAATACAAAATGTAAAACATTTAAAACATAGCGTTTAAAAGAAGTAAAGAAGATGGCTAGAACAAGAAGGGCCTTCTCAACTGTGGTGCCTCAATTATGGAATCAACTCCCCAGGGATATACAGCTGGTACCAACTCTGTATATGTTTCTGTGACAGGTTAAAACCTTTTTATTCTCTTGCCTTTTTAATTGTTGATAAAATTATTTAGTTTTATATTGGTTTTTATAATACTGTTACTGGTACATGTGGATTGTTGTTACATATTGTCATAATATTGTTTCAGTTTGATTATTGTTTAAGTTGGTTGCATTTTATTGGTTGAATAGGTGTTTTATGATTGGTTTACTTGTTTTTAAAATTGATTGCTGATATTGTTGCTTTAATTTGATTCTGGCTATTGTATACTATTCCATTATGGTTTTATTGTATAACCACTCTGAGAGTGCCGTGCTAATGAATGGGCTATAAAAGGCTAAATAAATAAATAAATTTACTGGCCACATGTGAAAGGTAGGGTGGTCATGTGTTCTACTTGAGAGAAAACAGTCCTCTAAAGGGCTTTCGGAAGACAGTATCCTATATGAATGTGTCCTCTGTCTGAAGAGCTATGCAGTTCAAGTTAAAGAACCGTAAGAGAAGAGAATATGGGTCCTGAAGCTGCACATCAATAGTCCACACTTGGAAAGCAGACTGAACAGACGCACACACTTTCCCACTATGGTGGGATGTATTGTATGCATTGTGGTAAGATGTATGCATTATATGCAGTATGGTGAGATGTATGCATTGCATTTTTATTTAAACTACAATAATTTCCATATGTGCATCTATGCTTACAAATTAGCACATGCAGATTATTGCAAATGTGCCCTCATTTGCTCTCTTTCTGGGAAATCATTTCCTCTCTTTTTTGCAATACATCAGTGGCCACCTCAGACTTTCTCCTGTAAGTTCCTAAACTGTGGAATGCTTTCCTTTTGAAGTTACAACTGACCACGGCTCTCTCAGCTTTTGAAAATTTAGTTAAGGGACATCTTTTAAAATCTCATCCTAAAATTGCCTTGAATCATTTTAGAGCACAATGGGCATGGTCTGGAGGGTGCCATAGGATTTTTTTCAGAGCCACAGTTCCAAGGTCTTGCAACCTTGCAGCTGGGATTCTGAAGTCCAAGCTTCTGCCCATGCTCAACACAAAAAACTTATTTGAGGATGTACCTGGGTCTCAGAGGACAAAATGGGACATGTTGAAAGGGGTGCCACTGGTGCCTTATGCTTATTTCTGTCAGTTGCCAAGCCTTCTTTCACCTCCACTAAGAAATCCAGATAGCCAAAAATGGCTATAAATATTCAGGGCAAGGTGTGGAGGCAGCAGAGAATGTTGCTGCCACACCTTATGCTGTGCCTTGCATGCATTAAGCCTCCAGTTTCACAGGCCTATGTGCATTGAGACAGAGGGCTGTGGATTGTACCCTTAATGTTTTACAATGGTATGGTTGTAGATTTTTGTGATATTCATGTTTTATTTGTTGTTGTACATGACTTTGGTGACGTCTGTGGAAAGGCAGTATAAGTTTAAAAACAGAAGAAAAAAATGCGTTCATACAGCTATGTGCAGTGGCCTGTAGAGGCCTATCTGTAGTTTGGCCCTATTGGAGAGTGGGGTAACTGGCTGCATTGTGTTTGAAATGCTGACACCTGGTGGTGAGGAATTGATTTCAGTGGGTAGGGCAAGGCTTGGTGGGTAAGGTAGGGTAAATTTTAGAGACATGTTCTTAATATATTCAAGAATTTAAGATAAATTATGTGCCATATTGTTAGTCTTAAACATGTTTATTATATGTTTTGCTGGTGTGTGAGTGTAATCTCATGGCCCATGATTTTATTTATTTATTTATTTATTTATTTATTTAAAGTTTTAATATGCTGTCCCCATTGCTACACAGCCTCAGGATGGCTCACAACAACAAATAAATAAAATAAATAGAATTACAATTACAATTAAAACTTGAAAACACACTGGCTGCATTATCACTTTGATGGGTTTTTATAGATTTACAATTGCATTAATTTCTTCTTGTCTAAAATTTAGCAAGGTGCAAATGACTTCCTGCCCTTCCTTCTCTCAACAGTGCCACTGACTCCTTGCTCTCGAGCTGGTCACTAGCTTGGGTTCAAATCCCCAATCAACCATGAAGCTCACTGAATGGTCTTGACCTTGTGGCCATGTCTCTTCCTAAACCACTTTACTAGGTTGCTGTGCGAATAAAATGTAGTGATCCACCTAAATGCTGTCAAGAGATCCCTTATGATAGATAAAAGGGTTATTCTCAGGTTAGCTCAGTCATGAATTGTGCTCATTTTGGAAATACTCTGAAAGAAATACAACTTATTTATGAAATAACTGATTAAAAATATGGTTTTCACTTGCTTTTATATATATTAAGTATATGCCACCTTTATTCTGACTGTAGTGTAAAGGCTATTTTTGCATATGGATTTAATTATTTTAAAATGTGTCATTATATTAATATTCTTACAGATATTTCCTGGGCTGATCCTGTCAGACATAAAGCCTGCCAAAAGAATGAAGTTCAAGACTGTCTGTTACCTGTTGGTGCAACTCATGCATTGTCGCAAAATGTTCAAAGCTGAGATCCCTTTCTCCAATGTCATGACGTGTGAAGATGATGACAAGGTAACATATATTTATCTAAGCATGTCTCTGTGAAACAATGTGTGGTGTATATAAAAATTAAGCACTCAGATCCTTACTAATTGACCTGAAGATAAGAGGGAAAGGAGGCTTTCTTTATTCAAATTTGAAATAAGGATTTGTTTTTAGTTCATTTCCCACTGGAAGTAAAACAGTAAGCAATCTCCTTACCTGCTGTTCAAAGTGAATCCAGTGAAGCAAATAGCAAGTGTATACAAGGTGTTTAAAATTAAGCAGTACATTGGCATGCTCTAAGGGCTAAAAGAAAATGATAAAATGACACCATCATTGCAGGAAAACAGTTGAAACATGAGTCCACTAGAAAAATTCATAGCTCAATATAGAGGCATAGGGCTTGTAAGCAATCACTTAAATTTCTTTCCTGTATTTACTAGTTACCTGCCTTTCTGTATTATTAAAGTGTGGGGAAAGACCTCTACAGTGTTATAATTCTGTCTGTGATTCTATTTCTCTTTTAATACATAAAGGTAACTTATAAGATGATATCCTGCTGCTGCTAAATAAGTTCTCCTTGGTCCGCAAAGCAAAAATGGCAAGTCCTGTCACCCTGTAATGTACTGCTTTGCAGTTTTGCACTAGAAACCTAGTTTAGTCAAGGCCTAGCTTTGTTAGATAGCAAGGCAGTTTCTAGAATGCTTTCTGGAAAAATGAATTTATCTTAGAGAATTTAAAGAGACTTACCCTTTGCTTTTTGTTTATTTATGAGTATTTATAACACTCTTACATCTCAGGATTCCCAAGCAGTTTACATAAATTATAGAAACATAAAAATAAAAACTAATACACAGAATATATCCTATCCATGTAAGGTAGTAGGCTACACCATACAAGAACCCTCCTTTTTCTCAAAATAAAAAGAAAGGGAAGCAGAACTCACAATTATGTACCATGTGTTCAATTCATGTCCCTATGTCAGCGTTCCCCCAAACAGTGTCTTCCAAATGTTTTGAACCACAACTCCCATTACCCACCATTAGCAGAGGTAGGCTGCCATACATCTTTCACAGCCTATTCCACATAACATACTGGGGGGACGGCATGCTTAGAGTACATGTGCATTCACAGTACATGACTATGGCTCTGTGCCATGGCAACTCTGCCATGGAGTGCCGCAGGGTTCCATTATGTCCCCCTTGCTATTCAACATCTACATGAAACCGCTGGGAGAGGTCATCAGGAGGTTTGGGCTGCAGAGTCACCAGTACGCTGATGACACCCAGCTTTACCTCTCTTTTTCAACTAATCCAGGTGAAGCAGTGGCTGTCCTGAACCGGTGCCTGGCTGAGGTAATGGACTGGATGGGAGCCAATAAACTGAAACTCAATACAGATAAGATGGAGGTCCTTTTGGTAGGCGGTTCAGGTTCCACCTAAGTGATTTTGGCCCTGTCCTGGATGGGGTTGCACTCCCTCTAAGGACAGGGTCCACAGCTTAGGAGTGCTCCTCGACCCAGAACTGTCCCTGGACGCCCAGGTGATGGCAGTGGTAAGGAGCGCTTTCCTTCAGCTTTGGCTGATCCATCAGCTGCGTCCTTACCTTGATGAGAACTGCCTAGCAATGGTGACACACACTCTGGTCAACTCCCGTTTGGACTATTGTAATACGCTCTACATGGGGCTGCCCTTGAAGACGGTTCGGATACTTCAAATAGTGCAAAGTAGAGCTGCCAGATTGCTGTCGGGGACTGGTTGTTACTCTCATAAAACTCCAGTCCTCTATCAGCTTCACTGGCTTCCCATTGAAGTCCGGGCCCAATTTAAGGTGGTGGTTATGACCTGTAAAGCCCTAAATGACTTGGGACCAGGATACTTAAGGAACATCTTTTTCCCTACATGCCCTACTGCCCCTTCAGATCTGCAGCAGAGGCCCTGCTCCGGGAACCCTCCTTGAGGGAGATGAGGAGGCAGAATACCTGGAGGAGGGCTTTCTCTGCGGTGACGCCCCAGCTATGGAATGCACTCCCTAGAGAGGTCCACCTGACACTGACATTATATGCTTTTCGGCGCCTGGTCAAGACCTTTTTATTCACCCAGCATTTTAATGTTTAAAAGATTTTACTTAATTTTTACTTCAGTCATGGATTGTTAGTCTTATTGTTTGGGGTATTTATGATCTTTTATACTGTTGCATTTATTGAATTTTGTTTGTAAGCCGTGCAGAGACGGATAGCGATTGGACGGGTTAGAAATATCCCAAATAAATAAATTCTTTATTAAAATTAACTGAAGATTATTAAAATTCACTGAAGATTAAAAGCTGACCTGAAAGCTACAAAAGACAGGAGCACTTTATGGAATGTTTATAAGATTTTCCAAGGTACTTGGCTATTCTCCACTAAATATGTGAATAACCACATGCTCACTGTTGTAAAATGAAATAAGTTGTAACGTTGTCTTTGCCACTAGGTGGTGATATTACATGGATTTGATCTAATATTCTGTCAGGGAAATGCTCATGTCATTGACATTTTAAAAAATTAAAATATGTGCTATTTTGTGTTCTCTTTTGCTGACATGGAGTATAACACAGGTCTGACTTGAAATGTTTCCACTCTAAAATTCTATTCATTACCTCTGTAAAAACTTCAGTGAAATACCCTTCTGAATTCTTGGGTTTATCTCTTTCCTACTTCTCACATGGGAGTTTCAGGGAAATAGAGCAAGTTCACCAGACAACACTGGTCTTCACTCCTACTTCCTCTTGTAGTGACCTGTGCTGGGACTGGGTTCATCAGCTGCAAGTGACTAAAGAGGAAAGAAGTCACAAGATGTTAGTTTACAAAATGATTACTACATCATGCCAATGTGTTTAATCCACAAAGAGTGTGAATTGAATCATTGGATCTTTTCCAGTTGGTTCCTATGTGAGACAACTACGATGTGGTGCTTCAAGATTTTTGGATGCCACAACCAGGCTTTCTTGGAGTCAGTCTCCATTCTCCTCATGAGAATTGCTCATCTCAATTGCAGTAATGATGATGATGACTGGAAAATGTATGTTAACTTTTATGTCCATCTACACATATAATATCTTTTTATAGAAGCACAACAGGAAATGTTCTGGGAAAGTACTGACATTCTTTTTGCAAGTCCCACCCACCCCATTTCACAAACCTTCAGCCACAGATGATGGCACATAATGTTAATATATGTAAGGTGGTTTGACATAAATCAGTAAAAGATGGTTCCTGCCAGTACGCCTTGTGCCATGTTTTAGTTCATACACTTTTCAGATACCATAGCAGCCAGTAGAATTTTGTCTCCTTTTAGTGCCACAATAAAATTTGCTGTCTTTCAATTTATTGCTTAAGATGATTACTAGATAAGATAAAACTTAATCCTCTGCTCCTTCTATTTTCTCATTTCTGCTACAGAGGAGGGCATTAAGGACAGCCTCTGAAAAACTCAGGAATCGTTCCTCATTTTCTACAAACGTTGTATACAACACTCCTGGAACTCGAGTGAACCGTTACATTAGCCGTTTAATAGAGGCCCGACAAACTGAGTCAGAGATGGCAGACCTAAACTTTTTTACCCTGAGGTATAAACAGATTGAACGTGAGCAAAAAGTGAGTGAGGCTTTTACTAAATACTTCATCAGCAAAAGAAAATGAGAAGCTGCAGCTTTTTTTAAAAAGGTTCCCTTTCCCTGTATTTTCAGTTGCACTTCCTTAATTTGGTGTTCTCTAGATATGTTGGATTGCAACTCCAGATGGCTGTGCTGGTGGAGGACAATGGGAGCTCTAGTTCAACCCATATAAAGAGCACCTAGTTGGGCAAAGTTGCTTTAAATGCAAGAGGAGGCAGGCAGACCTTGGAGTCCTGACCCAGGATAAACTTCTGTGGTGACTTTTTGAGTTGGAGATGGGAGTACTGCATTGCAGTGCTTCCTTTTCTACTTGGAGAGTGGTTTCAGAAAGTGGTGCTTGAGGGATATTGCTTGGCCATGTGGATTCTCCAGTATGGAACTCCTGTCCACCATGTTATTCAACATCTCCATGAAACTGCTGAGTAAGATCATTTGGAGTGCATTGCCATCAGACTCTGATGATACACATTTCTAGTCTCCTTTTCATATTCAGTAGATGAGGCTTTGGATGTGCTAAACTAGCGTCTGGCTGCCACAGTGTATTGGATAAAGGCTAAGAAACTGAGCCTCAGTTCTTCTGATGGGATGGAGGGTGCTCAGCCTGTTCTGGATGGAATCACACCTCTTGAAGGACTGAATTTGCAGTTTGGGGGTGCTCCTTGATCCATCTTTGTCCAGGTGGATGCTGGAACATGGAATGCCTTCTATCAGCTTTGACTAGTAACCCAACTACACACCTCTCTGAACAGAGATCACCTGGTTTCAGTAATCTTTGCCTGGTAATCTCTAAACTAGATTACTGCAATGTGCTCTATGTGGCGCTGTCCTTGAAGACAGTTTGGAAGCCACAACTTGTGCAAAATGTGACAACCATATTAACAACTAAGACCAGACAGTCCACATATATAAATTCTGTTCAGGCCTGCTCAGTTTGGCTGCCTATGTTTTAAAGCTGGTTTACAAATAAAGCCCTACATGACTTGGAACTCCAACACCTGATGGAGCACCTCTTCCAATTAAAATGTACCTGGACACTATATTCAACATCTGAGACTTTTCTCCAAATGCCACCTCCAAGGGAGGCTTGGGCTGGTAGCAACATGGTGGAGGGCTTCCTCTGTGGTAAATTTCAAATGCATTCCATTCAAATTATGGAATGCTCTCCCCACCAAAGCCCACCTGGCACCAACATTACTGTTAGGTTAAGATCACCCCCTTTGCTGAGACAATTAGCGAGTCCAAATAGCACACAGATGTAGCAGGTACTGCCAAATGGTTTTCAGCAGGTCTTGCAGTATGGAATGATTTTATTTGTTTAGTTGTAAAAATGTGGTTTCTAATAATTTAATGTAATTTTATGAAACTTAATTGTTGCTCTGTTCTATATTGTATTTCTGTAATTATTGTGGTTCACCACCCAGAGCACTTTGTTATTGTGCAGTATATATATTAAAGAAACAAATAAAAAAGTGAATAGTTGTGGCTCAGGTTGTAAAATTGTAAAACAGGCAGATTGTGGGAATGGAGAAACATAGAGATCCACAAAACCTGTATGGCATTGCAAGTCAGCCAGAATTTATGCTTAAAGCATGGTGGTCCTGTCATCACTGTCATCCTGAGATTCATTGGAGCGACCCTGAGGCCAAGGATATTTCTAGGAAGGAAGCCTCACTTCTCTTTCCCACACGTAGTTCTGAGCTGGGGAAGAAGGCAGGAGTTCATTCCTGTTCTGTTGGCGCTCCAAGCATAGTTGAAGCTAACAAGATCAGCACAAACTCAGGGGTCGCACTTTCCTTCTCAGTACTAATTTGGAGAGGAGGGGGCAGGAGATGCATGCTGGCTTTGGAAGTGCCATGAAGCCTGAAGAAGAGTGAGGGATTTATCTGTTCTTGTGCTGGCTTTGAAAATATTCTGAAAGAAAAAAAAGTGCTTACTAGTGGCTACCTTGTGTGTACAGTCATAGGCTGCTGCTCATGCTGTATTTTTAAGCACAGTTTTTCAGAATCAGAAACAAGATGTATGACAAACATGGCTAAATAACTTTTCTATGCATCTTTCTCTCTTTTGCTCTTTCACAGTATCACCAAGTTCAGGATGAATATTTCACCAGTGCTGTAGTCTTGTCACTGATTCTAGCTGCCTTATTTGGCCTTGTCTACCTTTTAATAATCCCACAGTAAGTGTTTTCTTACTGTTTCAAAATAAGTGCTCACTTGCTTGTTTTCTCTCTGTCTCTCTCTCTGTCTCTCTCTCTCTCTCTCTCTGTCATTCTCTTTCATATATATGAATGTCTTTCGGACTTTAGAATTTTTCCATTGCGCTGTCACTAACTTTATCAGGAACAGAGCTAGGACAATGCAGTGGACTGTTTATGAAAATATCCATTTCTTTTAAGGTTGGAGTTATGAAAGAGAGCAAACTTGCCTACCTTCAACCTGGAGCTAGGAGAAGTTATCAAAGTAATTTCTCAGTTCATGTTTGCCCTGATGCAGAAGAAACTCTGCTAAATCAAAACCTGAAATGTGGTTCCCCCTGAAAGCCTATGTCAAAGTATTGTACTATTTTGTATTGTTTTGTACCCCAGCACACAAGCATGTAACTGACTTATTTTTTTTATTTATTTATTTATTTATTTATTTATTTATGGATTTATATCCTGCCTTTTTCCTACAAAGGGCGTAAGGCAGCTTACATCTCCTCCTCCATCTTATCCCCACAACAACAACCCTGTGAGGCAGGTTGGGCTGAGAGTCTGTGACTGGCCCAAAGTCACCCAGTTGGCTCCATGGCCGAGCGGGGACTTGAACCCAGGTCGTCTGAGTCCCAGTCCCATGCTCTTCACCACTACGCCACACTTATCAGGATGTGTAGCTAGCCCCCTAAAACCCAACATTACTATTTTTCCATCCACATTCTATCTCATCAGGACCTATACTGAGATTTGGTAGCAGTTTTGTACTGTTCTCTGCAACAAACCACTTGTGCTGCCATCTTGTTTTCCATTGGTTCACTGCCTGCGCTCAGTGGACTGAAGGATATTCTAAAGGGCACCTCTACACTTTCACAAACTATTCAGGTTGCTTACTATCAGATTAGGGTACTGAATGTGCAAATTCCAATCACAAAGGAATCACAGTAAAATTCTCATTCATCCCTATTGCAAACTGCAACTGGATATCTGCTACACTCTTGTGAACAGCAATGCAACACACTGCAAAGCTAGAACAAAACTTCAGCTTGGTTTTTGAATGAGAATGACCATGTTGGGTTTTGGGTGGTTTTCAGGATCCCACACTTAAATACATGTAAGTTACAGTTACATACAGGCCCCTCGGGAGCAGCCCCCCTCCAAACAGTGGGTTGAGGGAGGGGCCATGGGAGGAACATCTGGGGAGACATGGAAGCATGCCACCCACAGGAGGAGGACAAGGCCAGCACATTTAATCTTTTCATAAATGACGTGGAAGAAAGGGTGAACAGTCTGATCTAATTCACAAACGATACTAAAACTAGGGCAGTGGTCACAACTGAGGAGCAATACTCCAGATCCAAAAGGATCTGGACAGACTATGGAAGTGGGCAGGAGGCAACAGAATGGCTTTCAATGTGGCTAAGTGCAAGGTATTGCACTGGGGCATAGGAATGGGTGTTATAAGTACAGGTTAGGTGACAAGTGGCTGGAGAGCAGCACTTGTGAAAGGGACCTCAGGGTACTGGTTGACTGCAGGCTAAACATCAGCAGTGTGATGGGGTGGTCAAGAGGGCGAACGCCACCCTTGGTTGCATAGCCAGAAGTGTGGCTTCTAGATCAAGAGAGGTATTACTACCACGCTACACGACTCTGGTGTGCCCGCAACTGCAGTATTGTGCTCAGGTTTGGGCCCCTCATTACAGAAAGCATATAGCCAGGTTGGAGTCAGTGCAGTGTAGGGGCACAAGGTTGGTGGCTGGTTTGCAGGGGATGCCATATGAAGCGAGACTGAGGGAACTGGGTCTCTTCAGCCTGTAGAAGAGGAGACTCAGTGGGGATATGTTGGCGACATACAGGTATGTGAGGGGATGTCACATGGAGATGGGTAGAGACCTGATCTCCCCTGCAAAGGACACGCTCGAATGGAGCAAAGCTCAGGAAGCCAAGGTTCCATTTGGATGCCAGGAAGCACTTCCTGACAGTCAGGACCCCGAGGGTGTGGAATGGGCTTCCACGAGAGGTCGTTGAGGCCCCATCGGTGCGGGTGTTCAAGGACAGACTAGGTATGCACATGGTGGGCATGTCATGAGCAGACCCGGCTGGAGCTGGGAGTCAGACTAGATGGCCCAGGAGCCCCCACCTGACTCGCTCTGTTTCTATGTGAGCAGTGGTACAAAATGCAGGGTTAGTACAGCTTCTAGGCACTGGAAAGTTTCTAGCCCCTTTCTGCCTTTCAGCCAATGCATTTCCTCCTTTCTCCTCTTAGCCATGATTCAAAGGTTTATCTCTCCCCCTACCTATTCTTTTATGCAGATTGGACCCATAGCATGGGTTAAAGTCTACCTGTCATGTAACTGTACAGTAGCTCCCCTATGCTTACTTAAAGTAAAAAGGAAAAAGTGTGTAGCTGATAGATACAGATTTAAAGTACTGCCTGCTTTGCTCCTAAAATCCATCAGTTAGGTATTTAAAGAAATGTTGTCACATTAAGAATTACAGTTTAGTTAAAAATGTTCAGCATTAGAGAAAAAATCAAAAAAGCACTGAGGAATCTACAGTATCTGTTATTTCCTTTTTATGCAATAAGGAAAACATACTTCATATTTTAGCTAAACTCCATCCAACAAGTTTATAATAAGAAACCTGTGCTTTTGGGCATGTTCCATGATGCAATTTCTCCACATTTCTTCTAGGAGTACCATAGTTCTTGTCCTCTTGGTGTTCTGCATATGCTTCCTGGTGGCATGTATAATGTATCTCCATGTCACTCGAGTACAAGTAAGTGATCTGTAATATTGTGCCCTCTTACTCTGAGAAGAAACTTATTCAACCATTATGCAAATCTTAATTTCACTTCTGTAACATTATGTCCCTGCAGGAATGAGCCTATTTATTAACTTTCAGTACCTAGTGTAGTGCAGGGCTTTTATAAGTCATCTTTCACATTTCCCTAAAGAAGTAGGAGCTACAAGGGGCAGCCTTTACCAAGGCTTCTTTTCATGCAAGAGGACTAAACATCAGCTCATGTGAAGAGCTTTCTTCTCTGAATCCTTAGTTTCTGCCTGTAAATTTCAAATTTTATTTATTTTAACGTCAAATGGGTGGGTAGATTTCTATTGTCATCATAGTTTGCTGTATTGGCTGGAATTCCTGGTGACTGTGAAAGAAGAAAGTGCAAAAGTAGGACTGCAGCTGAAAAACAAAACATAGAACTACAGATGAATTATGCGAATTCAGTGTCATCAGTGAAGAAATTAAAATTTTAAAGATTTTGCAAACCCAAAATACGCTGTCATCAGTGCAAAGATAGACTCTAGCCAACTTAGAAGAAAATCAAGACTTGAAAGGACAGCAGTGAAGGAAATAGAAAAGATTCATTTCATTAATCATCTACCACACTGTATTCCCAATCACAATCTCTAGGTGAAGAAAGCGGACAGGAAGAAAATGAATGTGTTTAAAACATGGTGCTAGAGGAAAGCTTTGCAAATACCGTGGACTGAAAAAAATACAAACAAGTAGATCCAAGATGGAATCAATGAGTACTTGCCCTGGAAGCAAAAATGTAACTGAAGCTGTTGTACTTCAAGCACAACACAAGAAGGCAAGACTTACTGGAGAAGACAATTTTGCTAGGGAAAGTAGAAGGTAGAAGAAGAAGAGGAAAGCCAACTATGAGATGGATCAATCCATAAAGGAAGCCACAGCACAAAGTGTACAAGAGCTGAGCGGGGATTTTGGAGGACAAAATAGGATCATCATTAGTCAGAGACAATTTAAGAGTACATAACAACAAGAATTGGCTAGGATCCAGGGAACTACTTCAGGTGTGGCTGGAGGCTCAGGCAAACCTAGAGTGATTTTGTAGAAATATTTTCTTTCAACAGCAAGCCCTTATATCACAAATTGCTTTTCAAAGTGTCCTCACTTTCAGAAGAGGTTTGCCAAAGAAATGGCAGTGTGTTGCTTGAGAAAACTGACAGCTTCACTGAGCATATGGAATTATCTTTGCAGTTCTTTGGCTTCAGACCAAAGAAGACAGAAAGATCCTTTTGCAGAGCAGTTGGAATCTGGGCATCCAGCCCAACAGCTTCTACTCATTCTTTCTGGTTTGCAGGGCAGCAAGAGAAATTGCCCTAGCTGGTACCCAAGCCATAAAAGAGTGAATTTCTTGTCCTCAAAGCAGTTGAGGCCTGGACTTACAGCTTCCTCCTCCCCTCCCAAGGAAGAACAAAGCTGGAGTGAACCAGCCCATGGAGAAACGCTAGCTGAGCTGACTGTCTGCTTGTTGGTTCATTTTCCAGAATTGGCACATCTACCCGTGTATTCAGCCCCTCCCTGTACAACTGCTCACCTCTCACATACATACACACACACTGCCCCCTGTCATTCATATACTCTGGACAGCCTTCTGTTTGAGGACTGAGCTTTGAAAGCTTTCCTGCCCCACTTGAGATGCACATACAGGCAGACACAGGCAGTTCTGGCTTTTTGAAAGTACACATCCAAAAGTGCACATAGCACATGTTAAGAGATGTTGGTGGGCAATTTTTGATGAGAAAGTGGCCTATGAGCAAAGGGTTAAAAATGGTCTCCCCCACTCCAGTCTCTTCCTTCAGAATCTAGACTTGTGAAGTTAAATTGTCTAAACAAATGAGTTATGTAAATAGAAGAGTCTATAAGAATAGACTACATGTAACATGTAGTTCCATGCAGAAAGTTTGGTGTATGACATGGAAAATACAAATGGTACTCTTCATGGTGATAAAAGTACAATAATGCATTAAATAATTGACATGAGGCTGCCTTTTAGAGAGCTATCTGAGACACATTGCTTCATCTCACTTAAGGGTGGGCTGATTTTAATTCACATCTTTGTATACATACGCATTTCATCCATCCTTGCTATTTTTAGGTGCATACTTAAAACATGCTAAGGGTACACTAAAAAATGTGAAGGGCTTTTATCCACACTCCTTGTCCACATAGGATAGAATAGGCCTCTTTCACATGAGCTGAATGAATTGCTGATGCCATGCTTGCTAAATTTATCATGAACAAGGGAGTACTGAAATATTAATCACCTTGTTTTAAGTCAAATATATTCTGTTTCTTTTTTAAAGTATCATCTCTTTAAGTATTCATGCATGGTAATAACTATGGCTTTCTGTGTTGAATATTATTCCCCTGCCAATTTCTCATTTTTATAGACTATTTGGTAACGTATCTTGCTTTTTGAAGGCTTAGACTTAAGTAACTTAATTTTTAAATTATTTTTCAGTGTTTTCCAGGGTGCCTGACAATACAAATTCGTACCATTTTATGTGTTTTTATTGTGATCTTAATTTACTCAGTGGCACAAGGCTGTGTGGTAAGTGTATATAACTGTAATGCAATTGTTATATAAGGTACAGAAAGAGACATTCTCTCATTAATTTATTTCAAGCATGTTTTAACAAATTTAGTTCAGTGGGAGTATTTGCACTAGCATGCATGGGCTGTGACTAAAATCACCGAATGGTACAGATAGAAGTGCAATCTTATGCTTGTTTAGATAGAAAACAGCCTAGATAGAAAAAGCTCCCAGCATTTCCCAGCCAGACTTGTTGACTGGGACATGCTGTGTTGTAAAACTTTGTTCTAACTAAACAAGCAAAAGTTGCATTCTAACCGTCTACATTTTGTGGTTCTTTCTGGAAATGGAAACCTTAATTCTTGATATAGCTCAGACTTAAATCATTTCACATTTTATCTCTAAAATGTTAGGGAGGTAAAAAGGGCATGTATTTACAAACAATGTGCAAGTACTGGTTTATAAGTTTAGGCATACCTTTAGTAATAGTTACTTTTATTTCAGTAGAAATTCATCTTACTGTAATGGGAAACACTGGTCAGGTTTGCATAATCATGGAGAGGTAAATAAGCCATGGTGTCAAGACAGGAGTGGGAGAATTTGCGTAATTGCCCTTGCCAGCAAAAATTGTGCCATACCAGGGAGGGTGGCTTATTACTGTAGTTGACTTGGTCTGCATGATATGGCAAGCCACACCAGTGGGGATAATTAGGCAGATTCCCATCATGTGACCAGCACATGTGGTGAAGGAAATAAGCCACTGTGTTCATGCAAACAAGCCCACTTAGGTGACCTTTGTGTCTGCTCAGTATACTGTCAGGGGCTCACTACTGATGGACAAATTCAGGATTCCTGCTTTCCTTTCTTACCTTTTTTTGTCTTTGATTGGACTTGGACAGTACACTCCAATTAGAGCATGGCTTCAAACAAGGACTGTGCTCTGACAGCCCTTCAAAGAGAAGATTGTCATCTCTAAGCAGTCTTTCATTGCTGCTGAAGGTCAGTTTATACATAAATCAAAATCAAAGTGGAAAAAGTTTTTCTGAATTGCTCCATTTCGAACTGCAGGTGGGATGTTGCATGCCTTGGAATGTTGCCCCCCACCCCCAAACACACACACATATTCACAACCCTGCATGTAAGAAACTAGTATATAAAGTAAGGCAGGTTGCTTACCTGTAACTGTCGTTCTTTGAGTGGTCATCCATGCATCACATATATATGGGTGCTGTGCCTGTGCTGTGCCTGTTGCCAGGAAGATTTAAGAGCTTGAACAGTTTTGGTGGGAACTCCTGAAGACTGCCTGTTCACCCCCCGCTGGAACCAGCAGATATAGGACCCTGCTCCATAAAAGAAAGTATAGAGATATACAGTATACCCAGTCACTAACACTGAAGTGGGGCTGGTGGGCGGGTTGTGTGAATGCATGGATGACCACTCAAAGAATGACAGTTACAGGTAAGCAACCTGCCTTTCTTCGTCATGGTCTCCGTGGATCACACATATATGGGTAATTGTAAGCTGTCCTGAGACATTTTATCCAGAAGGACAGGATAGAAATGTTTTTAATATATATAGGTGACTAACAAGGACAGGATAGAAGTGTTATGGGTGACTAACAAGCTTACCACACCTGGAGGCGGGATGGTGTCCTCACTGGAGAACTGTGGACAAGATGACGTGGCCAAAGGAGCAGTCCTGATTGGACTTGATGCCTAAACAATAGTGCTTCGTGAATGTGCACGGAGTAGACCACGTGGCCGCGTTGCAGATATCATGTAGTGGGATGCCTGCATGGAGGGCAGAGGAAGCGGCAACAGCTCTATTGGAATGTCCCTTTGGATTAATGGGTAGGTCCAGTTTGGAGAGGTGGTAGGCAAGTTGAGTCGTCTCAATGACCTATTTCGAAAGTCTTTTGAGTCCCAATGGGCACTCCTTTGTCATCTTTCGAGTATTTGACAAAGAGCTGTTTGGTTTTTCTGAATGACTCAGTTCGGGATCAGTAAAAAGCCAGACATCTGCAGACATCAAGGCTGTATAGAAAGCGCTCAATCAGTGTTGATGGAGCAGGAAATAAGCCGGTAGAATAATGTCTTGATTAAGATGAAAAGGCGTCGCAGCCTTCAGTAGAAAGGCTGGGTTAGTACGAAGGACTAATTTCTCCTTGTGGAAATTGAGATATGGAAGGTCAACATGAAGAGCACCCAGTTCACTAGTTCTTCTGGCCCATGTGATGGCAACTAGGAAAGCCATTTTCCGTGAGAGAAGGCGGAGATCAGTAGTAGCCATAGGTTCAAACAGAGGTTTGGTGAGAGCCTGTAAGATGACAGAGAGGCTCCATGTTGGGACAACCAATCAGATCAGATGTTGAAGGTTTTGTAATCCCCGTAAGAATCGATGTATAAGTTGGTAAGAGTATATGGACAAACCTCCAATGCATCCTCAATGATGCATTGGTATTCAGGGTATTCAAAGATAGGCTGGACATGCACATGGTGGGCAAAGATGATGCAGGGTATTCAGAGATAGGCTGGACGTGCACATGGTGGGCATGTCGTGAGTGGAGCTGGCTGGTGCTGGAGGTCAGACTAGATGGCCTGGGAGACCCCTTCTGACTCGCTCTGTTTCTATGTTTCTATGCGAGATAGCTGCAATATACACCTTAATGTAGGACGGTGTGAGACCTCCATGGTGTAGTGAGAGTAGGAATTGCAAAATGTTCTCAGTGGCGGCAGATTGGGGTAGGAATTGGTTAGCAGCGACAAAGGAGGTGAAGTGCTTCCATTTAGCATGATAGGAGTATTGTGTGTTCAGTTGTAGTGCAGATTGGAGGATGAACTGACTATCCAGATGAAGATCTGTCAGATTCGTAGATGTTGTTGGTATCAGGGTTGGTACTGAGTGCAATGATGGAATAGAAAGGGTCTCTGATCTCGTGGAAGCAACTGTAGACAAAGCGGGTGTCAATCCTGAAGAAGGAACTTTTGTTGGATCCGAAGACACTGTTGGTACCGGATGAGTGAAGGCAATAGTCGGTACCGAGGATGAAGTAGGGTTCGAGAATGAAGTCTGAGGAACAGCTAGCAAATGAGCCAAGCGGTGAGGTTCAGGGACCTCAGGTCTGGATGCCGTATAGCACCTTGTTCCTGAGTGAGAAGGTGTGGGATGTGAGGTAGATGCAAGAAATCGTTGTTGGATACCTGGAGGAGAGTGGGGAACCAGGACTGTCGAGGCCACCAGGGAGTGATGAGAATGCCACAAGCATTGTTGTGATGGAACTTTGCCAGAGTTCTTGTTATCAGTGGAATCAGAGGGACACATAGAAGAACTCATTCTCCCAGGTGGGTGCATGTGCAGTGAGGCAGCAGCTTGCTCCATCAGAGATCATTTTCTCCAAGTCCAAAACCTCTGAGGCAGGCCAGATAAATGGGTATGGTGGGCCGGATCCAGCCCGTGGGATGTAGTTTGAGGACCCATGGTATAGAGTGTCACCGTCATTTCTGGTGCACAGAATGGTACTCCACAAGAGAGATTGGCATTAATAGTCCACCAGGATAGAGTTCGGAGGACTGAGTGTGGAGGTTATAATAGTTGGTTCGGTCGATCGTGGTCCAGATGAAAGTTGCAGTTGAACCATAACTGCAATGGCCACCTTTGCAGTCTCACATTTAGCACCACCGATACCATGGACGCCATATGACCGAGCACCTGTTGAATGGAGTGTCCTGGGACAGTCTGTTGAGTGGTAATTCATCATACAGAAGTTATCAGTCTCTCTTGTTGGTCCAGAGGTAGGAAGGCTCATGTACAGAGTGAGTCCAGGTGTGCTCTGATGCAATTGATGACCTGGGAGGGAACAAGGCATGATTTTTCGTTATTGATGCAAAGACTCAATCAGTTAAGCAGGGAGCAGGTGGTGTCAATTGAAGCCAATTGGTCATCTCTGGAGGCAGAGATGATGAGCCAATCATCCAGGTAAGGGTAGATCTGGATACCCTGAAACCTGAGGTGGGCACAAACTGGAGCCATGCATTTCATAAAGACGATTGGAGTGGTAGCAAGCCCAGTTGGGAGAATGTTGTACTCATAGGCTTTGGTACCGACAGTGAACCAAAGGAGGCACCTGTGAGCAGGATGGATGATGATGTGGAAGTAAGCATCTTTTAAGTCCTGGGATAGGAACCAATCCTCTTTCCTGAGCAATGGAAGTATGTTCTGGAGCATGGTCGTTCTGAATTTTTTGGTTTTGATGTATTTATTAACTCCACATAAATCCAGAATGGGGCAGATACCTCTGTCTCTCTTCAGTACTGTGAAGTACCTGGAGTAGAAACCGTGCAGTTCTTTTGAGTGTCTAAGTTTCCAGATCGCTCCCTTATGAAGCAGCTCGGTGACTTCTTCCAGGAGGGCTGGAGAAGTTGCTGTATATCGGATCGGACTTGAAGGCAGCACAGTTTCAACCTCGAATTTTTTATCCATGCTCTATGATGGAAAGAACCCAACTATCAGATGTAATGGACTCCCAGATGGGGAGTCAACTTTGCAACCAATCCCCAAAAGGGAGAGGGAAGGTGGGTTGGAGGATTGAGGAGAGGTTCGCACGTCCCATCAGCATGGATGCTAGTCAGCATCAGCTCGGTGCCTGGGCTGTTGGTAGCACAGGGTATTGGATCGTCGGGTCTGAGGTTGTCTTTAGCCAAATTGCTGTCGTCCAGAGGGGTATCCCTGGTGGTAGGGCTGGAAGGGTCGGTACTGTGGGGGTCTGTTCCATGGCCACTTATGTCTAGGCTGAGAGGTGGAGTACTCCATCCAGCGTGCGGTGAGGCGAGACTTGTGTATATGTTCAAGCTTGTCATTGGTCTTTGAATGGAAAAGACCGATGCCGTCAAAAGGCATGTTTTCGACTCTTTGTTTAGTTTCTTGAGGCAGGTTCCCCACTCTGAGCCAGGCATGACGTCGGAGGGCTACAGCATTGATGAGCACCTTCGAGTCACAACATGATGTCTCTCCATGGTGAGCTGTTGTTTTGAGAGCTGCATTGCCTCCCCAGTGAAGATGTGGGCCAGCTCCCTTTGCTGGTCCAGGAGGAATGCAGCAAGGGACTCGATCTTTTGCCAAAGAAAGTACTGATAATGGGCCATAGTGGCATCCTAATTGGAGATCTGCAGACCCTATTTTATTTATTTAAACCTTTTATATGCCTTCACCACATGCCTCAGCATCTCGGGACAGCTCACAAACATACAATTAAAACAATAAAACAAAAACAGATTCCATAGAATTATATAAAAACAAAAAGCGACTGTTAATGATAAAATACCAATTTTTAAACTAGCAATTAAATACAAAGGTTTTAACCTGGCACCAAAAAGAATATAAACTCAGTGCCAGGCACACCTTTCCAGGGAGCGCATTCCATAAACTCGGCACCACTGCAGAGAAGGCCCTGCTCCGGGTCGTTGTACTTTTTATCTCCTTTAAAGAGGCCTCCCGGAGCAAAGCTTCTCCCTCAGAACTTAAGGGGTGTGAGGGCCTGTAAGGGAAGAGGCGCTCCTTCAGGTATCCTGGTCCCAAGCCGTTCAGGGCTTTATAGGTTGAAACCAGCACCTTGAATTGGGCCCGGACTTCAACTAGAAGCCAGTATAGCTGGTAGAGGACCGGCGTTATATGAGAATAATGCCCAGTCCCCATCAGCAACCTGGCAGCTCTGTTCCATACCAGCTGAAGTATCTGGACCGTTTTCAAGGGCAGCCCCATGTTGAGCACATTACAATAATCCAACCGGGAGGTTACCAGAGCATGAATCACCATTGTTAGGCAGTGCTTGTCCAGGTAAGGGCACAGCTGGTGGATCAGCCGAAGCTGTAGGAAAGTACTCCTTGCCACCACCGCCACCTGGGATTCCAGTGACAGTTCTGGGTCGAGGAGCACTCCCAAGCTGCAGACCCTGTCCTTTAGAGGGAGTGCCACCCCGTCCAGGACAAGGTCAAAGTCACCTAGTCCCATGGCAGCATAGATATGGTGCGACATCATGTCGATTTTTCACCCGTCGCGGTCAGATAGAGTCGAGTGTTCCCTCAATTGATGACCCTGTGTCGACTCAATGACAATGAAGTTCAGATGTTTCAACAGGAATGGTATGTCCTGCTCGTGAACCTTATACATGGCCTCCAAATGCCAAGAGGTAGGGTGAGGGTGATTTGGCAGCTGCCAAGACTCTGTCATCGCCTTTCGTAGAGTGGAAATGAACAGCAGGACAATTTGAACAGAATCTTCTTTGTGAACCACATCATAGATGTTGTCCTGGTTCGTGTTGGTATGCTGCTGAACGTCGATCTTGAGAGATGAGGACATACGAGTGAGCAGCTCTGAGAACCGACTATGGCTGTCTCTGGGAGATCCTGGACCCTGGGTGGTGATCATGGCGTCAGGAGAGGTGGAGATTTGCTCGGATTCCTCTGAATCCAAATCAGTCTCATATGGAGGACTGGAAGAAGAGCCATCAGAAGATGTTGGTGGACAGGCAAGCACTGTGGCAGATGTTGCTGGAGCATACCTTGACACCGATTGAGAGGTGGAATGGTGGCAATGCATTGGTAGTGGTGGGTAATAGCCATATGGGGGGTAGAAATCCCACAGATAGGGCTGATCTGTGCAGTTGATATCAAAGTCCCCATAGGGTAAAGGCACCCAGTACTGTGAATGTTGTGGAAGTAGGACGGAGGGAGGGCAATGAGAGGCCCTTGGAGATCCCTCCAGAGATGAATGGCTGGCAGGTGTAGGAGTCGGCGACCTTGCAGGTTGCTGTTCAAATCCCAACTGAGGTGGCAATTCACAGATTTCTCTGTCTGAAATAGAGGCTTGAGACAACAGATCCGAGCAGTTGGGACTGGAGTGAGGGAGATGGTGACCTTCAGGGGTGACACTGGAGGTGTCACCTGCATAACCGACTGACGACTGGGCAGCTCAATCAGTACTGAGACTTGCAAATCAAGTAGATCAGAGTGAGTCACTTTATGATGTTATTTGTGCCGATGCTCAGTTTTGTCAGATCTGTCCTTTTGGGGATATTTAGGTTCCGTAGCCTCATCGAATCCAACATGCTTCCTCTTCTCCTTATGTTTCTTAGGAGGAGAGCGAACGGAGTGCTTTCCATCGGGACCAACAGTGTCCCCTTTGGATGGGTGAGAGTGGGCACTCTTCGAAGACTCAGGAGCCACAGAGGAGTGGGTATCCACTGAGACCTGCTTCATAGCCACTAGGGCTTGGCCCCATAACATCTTGCACAACCGATTTTCTCAGTTTTTCCAAGCCTGCCTGGTGAAAGATTGGTAGTGGCTGCACTTATCGGTCCTATGTCCCTCTTGAAGGCAGAGGAGGCAGAGGGAGCGCAGATCAGCGGGAGACATTTTAGCTCCGCACTGAGCGCACTTGCGAAAAGCCACCCACTGTGCCATCAAGAAAGAAGAAGGAGAAAAGTATAGCGGTAAGGTTAAGATGATGGGGGGGGTTTGGGGGGAAGCGGTTGTGGGCGAAGAGACAAAGATTATGAAAAGGGGTTTGGTAAGGGAGCAAACAACTGCATAAAGGAAGTGTTCAAGAAGGGTATAAAGTGAAAAAGTTAGAAGTTTCGAAGTAATTGAAGAAATTGAAGTAAAGTATTGCAAAACAGACAAGGAGACAAGAAAAAGGGCCCGAGGCACAGCAAACAATAGTCATGAGCAGACTGGCGAAGGGGCGGGCACTCTGCCCATTTATACTATAGGGGAGGGGGGTGCGGAGCTCCTGCCAAAATGGTTAAAGCTCTTAAATCTTCCCGGCAACAGGCATTGTGCAAGCGCAGCACCCATATATGTGTGATGCACAGAGACCACAACGAAGAAAGAAAGGTTCAGTTTAGCTATCACTCTAACTTGCCATTCTTATTTGGCTAGGGAGCTTCTTTAATGAGGAGTATTCAGACATAACAACCATCCATCTTCAGCATTTCAATCAAGTAGCAATCCTATATCTCTTGATTTTGTATAACTGACCGTAATCTATATGGAGGTGCTAGCCAAGGACATTTGCTTTATGGTTTCCACATCTCTAAAGCTGGCATACAAATCTGTCTCTCTGAAATTTAGAATGGATTCTTGATTGGCTGTTTCATGAACACAGAGCTTCAGTTTGAATTAAACAGTTCATTTCACATAGAACCATGTCCATGGTTTTTCTTTTATATACACATGGAAGTCTTCACACATGTCACTATTGTTACCAAGAATTTTATCTGCTGCCCGAAATAAAAGAGGGCCTATTCATATATATGTAAATATGTGTATAGTTAATGTATAGTGTGGCCACAGTGTATGCCATGCTTCTTTGTTTGCTGTGTAACATAATCACTTCAGTATGCTTGTGTTAGACCGACTATTGCTTTACCTCCTGCTTCATAGGGAAAGTTAATTTTAGATAGAACATGGACCTAAGTAAGGAATAGCCTTCTGTTTTCTCTTTTGTTTATCTGTTTGCATTATCTAGTAGCTCATTAAATGTATTGGGTCACACTTCTTAAATGTTTCCTGGTCCTTAAATTATTGTAACTGTTTACAAAGTATAGTATTCAAATGCCGTTTTAGGCTGCCTCTTACTTTATGGCAGCCTGTACAATTCCATTATTTTTGTGGTGGAATATATTTCATTGTCTTGTGCTGCCATTAAATTCTCCTGCTGTATTGTGAATGGATTGGGTGGGTACTGTGCAAAAGCAAGGGAAGGAAATCAAGGAATCTGGAATCAAAGATTGGTTCATATATGAATGTCTATCAGTTGGTAATTCATTACTTGAGAACATGTAAATTTGCAGCCAAATGTGTAAATTGACTGTATTCAAAGTGGTCATAGAAGATTATATGACAGTTCTATCCATAGTGTTGATATGTGATGGCTCATAGTAACAACTGTATGGGAGAGGGGGAATTTTTGCCAGGTCCATGGCTGGGGACGGAAGTTTTAAACCACTACTATAACTACTACTTTAAAAAGAAGAAGATTCAGCTGCAAATTACACATTTGGTATCACATTAAGTTTGGCTCTTAATAGTGCACTGAGCAGGTGAGGGATGCACATGGGTTAACCTTGCCCAATTGAGCTGTTTTACAAATAAGCCTGCTTTACTCTTTATATTCAGCTCTCTACTCCACATTTTCCCTCAGGTTGGTTGTATGCCTTGGGTCTGGAGTAACAATTCCAGCAGTTCCATAGTTATCATTTCTCCTGGTGGGACCAATAAGACAATGAATGAACTTCCATGCGATGCAGCCCATTATGCATTTCTCTCCTGTGTTGTGGGGACTCTGACCCTGGCAATATTTTTACGTGTATCCTCCTTGCCAAAAATGATCCTCCTGCTTTTTGTTACAATTTTGTACATAGTCATTTTGGAACTCAGCGGATATCGAAAAGCAGTGGGGTAAGTGCATCCCATAATTGGCAGAAAGCTTATCAATTGTTTCCATATTTTATTCTCATACTTGTAGTGTGGGCCTTTTGTACAAAGTAGGGATTTGAATCTTTATGAGGGATTTTGCAAGCACAACCAAAATGACCTTCAATCACTTAAACCTCAGCCATAATCCAAACAGAACTGTGATATAAGTGCATTTGCTTGCATTCAACCCTTATTTTCCTAGTCTTTCCCTCCTCCCCAAATTCTATTATTTTGTCCATTACATTGTAAGGTCTTGTGATGCAGTGAATTATCTTTCTTAAGTTAACCTTTAAAACATCATTATACAGTGGTACCTTGGCTCATGAACGCCTCAGTTCACAACCAAATCAGGTCACGAACAAAAATTTAAGAAAAAAATTTACTCAGGTCATGAACTCCGCATTGGGTAACAATCATGATCACTCCTGTCTCCCCCATTGCTGATCATGCCTGTGATCACGGCTGTCCCCTCGAATGTTCCCATGATTGCATCCATCTCCCCCCAAACACACCCACGATCGTGCCCATCTATGGCCGCAATTGCGGTCGCGCTTTGCTGGGGTGGGGAGATGGCTGTACTCATGCTGGGGTGGGGAGGGAGGAGATGGCCACAATCTTTTTTGTTCTTTGTCATTTGCTTCAAATTTTTGTGATAAAAAAATATATAGTTGCAGAATGGATTAACCTTATTTACACTGAACCTTATGGGGAAATTTGACTTGGCTCACAACCAATTTGGGTCACGACCAGATTCCTGGAATGGGTTAAGTTCGTGAGCCAAGGTACCATTGTACTCTGTACCTGGTACTGGCCTCCAGCATTATTGCAAGCTGTTACAGCCATTGAAGTATATTTCTCCCAACTTCTTTCACTTCACTTCTGTCCCAACAGAAGGGAGAAGATGACATTGGAGGGACTGGGGGAAAGGCAGAACTTGAGAAAGTTGGGGGATGCACCCTCTCTCCTCTTCTCCCCCACAAATCTAGAATACCCAATTGTTCCCTTCTCCCTTGGTTGTTACTTATACTTCCCTTCCCCTTTTGTGTGCTATGGGCCCATGGTGCCCAGATTAGTCCGTCACACTATCCTGAATTCCAAATAAGTTATAGGACTAGAATGATGAGATTTATTATTCTCATATACATTTAAAAGATGACATTGGATTAAAAACATTTCACATGCATAACTTCTTTTTTTTAAAGGGGTGATTCCTTTTATATACGTGGCTATGAACCCATATTAGCCATCTTGCTGTTTTCTTGTGCTTTGGCCCTTCATTCCAGGCAAGTGGATTTGAAGCTACGTCTAGACTACCTCTGGGCTGTGCAGGCAAGGCATTCTTTTTTCTCTTTTAAAACATTATGATTTTCTTTTCTGTTGCCTTTCTTGTATGCATGGCTAGAAAACTAATTTTAATTACTCCTCCAAATGATAATGTGTATTTTGTTTGCTGGCTTGCTTGTGTTATACTACCCAACGTATGTATGGAAATGTGTATACATGATCTGTACCTGATTAGGTACAGTCAGCCCTTCCTGAGCAGCCTTGCTCCACTTCTTTTCCCTTGGCCCCTGCTTTGTTCCTGGGAGCTTCGGCTCGGTCAGCTATCTCAGCTTCACTCTTGCATCAAGCTTCTATTTCCATCTCCACAGTCTCATCCAGCTCCAAACTACTCCTCTGCTACAATGAAAGTTATTGATATGAAATGGAATGAGGGGTTGTATTTGTTTGCCCCAAACCCTGGACCATGTCCTGCATACCCACTGCCTTACTTCCAGACAATATCTGTGCCAGATATTCTCACATCTGTATGCCCATGTTTATTCTTAAATTTTCACTTTCTAAGTTATTAGCGTAGCAGATGAGATGTGTTGGTTGCAACCCATGCAAAAAAATCCAAGATAAAAAGACCCAAATATCTCCTTTAAAGCAGATATCAGCATCTGATATTTAGGCATCAGAGTACAAGATGCTTGAATTTTCAGTCCATGCATTGGAAACAATTCAGGTACAACAGGAATGCAGAATGTTGCTGCAAATGGAGCCAGACCATTGGTCTGTCTAACTTACCAGGGTGAGTGGCAGTGACTCTCCAGGTTGTCAGACAGGGGACATGCCGCCCTACCTGACAAAGCCACAAATTGAACCTGGGAAATTTTGCAAGCAAGGCATGTGCTGTTCCACTGAGCTAAAGACCATTACTTTTGAAAATGAAGAGATTACAAGCTTACTAAAGCTTTGAGCCTTTGCTCACTTTCTTGAGAGTAGACCCAGTTGAACACAGTGATTCTTACTTCCAAGGACAGGCTTGCACTGCTAAGAAATGCATGAAAGTATAAGCGGTGACTCCACACATTTTCCTTAGTATGTCTAGTTCAGCTGGGCACTTTTAAGAGTATTGCATTTTCCATGTATTTCCAATTGCATTTCCAATTTCTCTAATTGCTAGTAACCATCTGTGATGGGGATAGAACCAAGAATTCCAGGCACCATCCTGCTTGGGCTGTGTGGAGGCAACAGTTTGACCCCATTGCTCAAGCCAATGTAGCCCTCCTAGTCATCATCCTGCATTACCCATAATCTCTGAAATAGAGGCAGGTAAACTGCAAGTCACATAGGTCAGCACTTGGACATACATGTCTATAAAGCAGATGTTCAGTAAAATCCACTAAAATCAGTAATGCTTAACTTAGAATGGATTTTGTGATTTCTGTTACATGTTTCTGCAAATTTCTGTAGTGTTTGCCATTGGTATTTTGTAGGAAGTTCAAACCATAACAAAAAGGTTTGTGGACACCCAACATATTTTAGGTTGAGACAACCTGGTATTTTTGTTTGTTTGTTTTTTTACTTTGTGGTTTGACTGCCCTCTTGAGGCTGTAAGAATTCATTATTTACACATCGTTCACCAGATATAAGGTATGTCTTTGCAGCCTCCTTTAGGTAGTTCAGTTAGACATATAGGCATCTTATAAAGGAAAGAATACATAGCTTATTTAAAGTTAGAAAAAGCTTCATATGGGCACATTGGCATTAAATCAGTTACGAATTTCTGCAGTATTTCAAGTGTGCATTTTTAAATGCATTCACCATTGTGTGCTACTTTATGCTTTTGGAGTATTTAATTAACTTAAGTAGTATTTTTATTAAGTAACTCTCTAGTCAGTTGGTTAGTTAGGGCCAACTTTACTTGGTGATACTAAAAGTTAAGAATTTGAGGTACATGTAGTCACTGTCAGCTAAAAGAAAGATGAAATAGGGGCTGTACTTAAAACATCAGTTGGCTGTTATCACGGTATCCATCAACATTCCACTTAAAACCTTCCAATTTTCTCCTGTTGTTGGCTGGGTCCTGATTTTACAGTAAGAAATGGGAGAATCTCCTGCAGCAACAAAGAGATTTCTGGGAAGAGCACTTACAGAAAAGCAGCAATTGCAAAGCTCTTTTGTCTTTTGTCATGTTTGTCTAAGTGTGTGCTTAAAGTAAAACTCCAGTCTGGTGCTGGATAAGCCCCTGATGAAGTGCCTTGCAACACTCTGGTAGGAAAGGTGGGCAGGGGGCACACTGTAGCACCTCATTCTTGAATGCCAGCAGTAGGTACCTGTAGCTTGTTCCTCTCGGCCAGGCAGGTCTGTGGTTCTGTCACTGTTTGCAGATTGGATTCAGACAGTAAGAATATGAGGAGGCTCAAACACATGGGAATTGCTGAGGAGAATGGGTGGCCCAGCTTTGGATTTAACAGACTTTAGCAATTAATACAAGCACCATGAAATGGGCCTCTAAATAGTTTTTTCTTAGTATAAGATAATCTCTAGTGTAGAGACAATATTCTATTTTTAAGATAAGTACTATAAATTTCAACTGTTTTATTGGTATGCAAATTTAATCAGTAGTACAATTCACTAAAATTGTATGCTTAATTGACTACCATTACTTTAAGTGCATTGCAGCCCTAATTTAAATGTTTGACAGCCCTAATGATTTCAAGTAGTGTGCCACTAAATGGAAGATAGGCAGTCATTGTTGTTGAGTTGCCAGTCAGCCATTGATAGTATAGTGTTTGGATTATGTTCAGCTGTCAAATTAAATTACTGGTTTTAAGTCCAAAGGCTCACCCAGAATGATCATTACTCTATTCCATAGTAACCAAACTGTGGCCTGTGAGCCACATTAAAACACAGACAGTTTATAACCTTGAGTAATGCAAAAAAGGAAAGATAATATTAAATAGATTAAAAGAAACACTTCCAAGTGTGCATTAATCTTGTTACATTCTCTAGCATCCCATTACTGTGGATGTGTTTAAGTGGCAACAGTATAAGCAATTATGACGAGTGCTACTGAAATTGCAGAGCTATTTTGTGCCCTCTTTATTATTATTTAGAAACAAACTACTAATCGTCTAGAGCAGGGGTCCTCAAACTTTTCGAATAGGGGGCCAGTTGAAAGGCTGCAGTGACCGTCACAGGCCAGTGAGGTGCTGTCGGGCAACGTGGCGGTGGCTTGCTCACTCGGAGATCTCCCAGCAAGTCCAAAACCTTCTCCAAGCAAGCAAGCCACCACCTCCCTGCCCGCACTGCGAAGCCGTGGCGAGCACGCACGTACGAGAGGTAGGCGGCGGCGGCTCGCTCGCTCACTCGGAGACCATTTCCAAGCGAGCAAGCCACCACCTCCCCACCCATGCAGCAAGCGTGCACACGGGCAGTGAACAGCAGCGCAGACCAGATGGATGGCCACGGTGGGCCGGATCCATCCCACGGGTCATAGTTTGAGGACCCATGGTCTAGAGAGAGCTAGCTGGGCTCCGTTGACCAGATAAACCTATGGTTAATAATTGTTTAAATCTAGCTTTTAACTGCATGTGTATAAGAGCACAGCTTTCATAAAATCACGTAAGAATTCAAAGGCAGTTTTTAAGTGTGTGATTCTCCTAACCCAATTTCCAAAACCTCTGCCTTTCCAAGCTTAAAGCAAGCTTGTGAGTATGTGTGTAAATGCTGGCAACCCTGTGAAGAGAATGATAGGATCTGAATGAAAACAGTAGTTCCTCCCATTCTCCTCAGGCTGACCCCTCCTTGCCAACCCACTATGGCACTTCCAAGGACCAAAATTGATGTGCTGCTATTTGCTGTGCAGTTGCAGTCTGTCTGGCTTTTAAATAATACATGCCCCCTGAAGCTTAACTTCTCTCACTAGAATTAGGGGAGATGCCACCCTGGGCTGTGGAGCTGAGGTGGACTCAAGCAAGTTTACAGCTATGCATTCTTTGCAGAGAATTGATGGAAACCAGAGACCTTGGCCTTTTCCTATTTCCATCTTCACCTTTGTGATACCTTTTAAAACATCAAGTTTTGCATTAAAGAATGTTGCTGCAACTGTGCACAGTCAGTCATTCAAAACTTTAAAAGACTCTATCATCATCATCATCATCGACATTTTAATTGTTTTTATTAAGTCATTTAATTTTACCCTCATTTGACAAGGGTAAACCCATAAAATCACAAGGTTTTAATCATCACCATCATCATCTATTTAAACTATTCCAGATTACAGAACAACACACACAGCCTACCACTGCATGCAATGCGTATGTGGGGAAGGGGGAGCAAAGAACACCCAGAATGTGAGTGTCAAGTTTTGCGTGCTGCTATCCAGCCACATCTCCTTCATGGATCACTGCCTTGTTGTGGTGAAGGGGCTTGCGTAGCCCAATGAAGCTATGAGCTATGCCGTGCAAGGTCACCCAAGATGGAGAGGTCATAGCAGAGAGCCCTGACAAAACGTGATCTACTGGAGAAGGAAATGGCAACTCACTCCAGTATCTTTGCCATGAAAACCGCATGGACAGTACCAAAAGGCAAAAAGATATGACGCCGGAAGATGAGCCCCTCAGGTCGGAAGGTGTCCAATATGCTACTGGGGAAGAGCAGAGGGCTAGTACTAGTAGCGCCAGAAAGAATGAAGCGACTGGGTCAAAGCCGAAAGGACACTCAGTTGCGGATGTATCTGGTGGTGAAAGGAGAGTAAGATGCTGCAAAGATCTATACTCCATAGGAACCTGGAATGTAATATTCATGAATCAAGGCAAGCTGGATGTGGTCAAACAAGAGATGACAAGACTGAACATCGACATCTGAGGAATCAGTGAACTAAAATGGACAGGAATGGGTGAATTCAATTCAGATGACCATCAGGTATACTATTCCGGGCAAGAATCCCTCAGAAGAAATGGAGTAGTCGTCATAGTCAATAAAAGAGTAGGAAAAGCAGTACTGGGATACAATCTCCAAAATGACAGAATGATCTCAGTTTGAATCCAAGGCAAACCATTCAACATCACAGTAGTCCAAGTCTATGCCCCAACCACTGGTGCTGAAGAGGCTGAAGTTGACCAGTTCTATGAAGGCCTACAACACCTTCTAGAATTAACTCCAAAAACTGATGTCCTTATCATCATAGGGGATTGGAATGCTAAAGTAGGAAGCCAGAAGATAACCAGAATATCAGGCAAGTTTGGCCTTGGAGTACAAAATGAAGCAGGGCACAGGCTGGTAGAATTTTGTCAAGAGAATACGATGGTCATAGCAAACACTCTTTTCCAACAACCCAAGAGACGACTTTACACATGGACAGCACCAGACGGTCAACACAGAAATCAGACTGACTATGTGCTCTGCAGCCAAAGATGGAGAAGCTCTATACAGTCAGTAAAAACTAGACCAGGAGCTGACTGTTGCTCAGATCATGAGCTTCTGGTTGCAGAATTCACGCTTAAGTTGAAGAAAGTAGGGGAAAGCTCTAGGCCACTCAGGTATGACCTAAATCATATCCCTGATGAATAAATAGTAGAGGTGACAAATAGATTTAAGGAATTAGATCTGATAGACAGGGTGCCTGAAGAACTATGGATGGAAGTTCGCAACATCATACAAGAGGCAGCAACTAAAGCCATCTCAAGGAAATAGAAATGCAGGAAAGCAAAATGGCTGTCTGAGGAAGATTTACAAATAGCTGAGGAAAGAAGGGAAGCAAAAGGCAAGGGAGAAAGAGAAAGATACAAACAATAGAATGCAGAATTCCAGAGAATAGCTAGAAGAGATAAGAATGCCTTCTTAAATGAACAGTACAAAGAAATAGAAGAAAACAATAGAATAGGGAGGACCAGAGAGCTCTTCAAGAAAATTGGAGACATGAAGGGAACATTTCATGCAAAGATGGGCATGATAAAGGACCAAAATGGCAGGGACCTAACAGAGGCAGAAGAGATTAAGAAGAGGTGGCAAGATTACACAGAAGAACTATACAAGAAAGAGCTTAACATCCCTGATAACCATGATGTGGTGGGCACTGACCTCAAGCCAGACATCCTGGAATGTGAAGTCAAATGGGCCTTAGGAAGTCTGAGCAACAACAAAGCTAGTGGT